AGTCAGCACAATATGACAGAGATAGTCAATTCAAAGTCAATGACACGAGCCAAACTCAACTCACTAGTAATAGACTCGAGACTCCGACGACGACCAGACGATAAACGCAGCGCCGGAAGAACTTCGACTATTCGTCAAAGCATTGAATAGACCGAAAATCGAAGGAGCCAAGAGTTGAAGCTAACTACAGGTCCTTTACGCCGACTGAAGGCTGGACCAATCACATCCAAAGTATTCCAGCCTCTTCTATAAAATAAACGAGTCTGGAACGCTTTGGAGGGGGTATCTGTAGGCATCAAAAATTACCTATAGGTCTCCACGAACAGCTCAGTGTTAAGGAACGACGATGAACGTCACTATCCGGTTCACAGGAGTTCGATTGATGTCGATGAACGATTGAAGTGAATCGACGAACTACGTGAACTAACGAAGGTACGGGCTAATCAGGAGCCCCGCGATGTTTACAAAAGGAACAATGCCCTTCGTGTCTCATTCATTCAACAGATGATCTAACCATCGGAGCTGATAGAACTCCTCGTCAGCTTTCCAACGCATTTCGAATCACTCAAATCCGAGTTCGGACGAAGAATTTACAGCGGAAGCGGATGAATACACCTCAATGGAGTGTCTCGGACCAACGAGACACCCTACGGTGTCTCGGCCCAAGCCGAGACACCCTAGGGTGTCTCGGCCCAAACCGAGACACCCTAGGGTGTCTCGGATCAAGTGGAGACACCCTGGGGTGTCTCCAAGGCAGATTTGGGCCTTAAGATTGTTTTAACCGCTCCGCAACCCTTCAAGCCTATAAATACAAGCCTTAGGCCTTATTTTTTGAGAGCTGGAATTTTGGAGAATTGGCGAAGCCATGCCGGACTGAAAATATACCAATTTGGTCATTTTGCCGCAGTGGATTGTTGCATTTTTTTGGGATTTGGTGAGATCATGAGAAATCTTTTCCAGAAATTATGACCAACAAACTATGAGACTTTAACTCCCAAAAATCAAAACTTTTCTTTAAAAACCTAATCTCCTCTTCTCCTCCATCTGTCCTGAAATCTCTGCAGAAAAAAAACCGAAGAGAAGAGAGGGAACGTCACGCTCTAGGCCCGTGAGCCCGTTGACGCAATGTAAGTCCTTAGATTCACGGAGTGCAACACGTGGTTTGACTCACTCAACTGGCAAAATTGACTAGCCAATGTTGCACTTGGCTCTGAAGACCCATCATTTAAATCATTCAATCACTCACTTAATTTCCAATGTGGGACTAAATATTGGGGTATCACAATCACCCCACCTTAATTGTGCGACGTCCTTATCGTCACAACATCACAATTGGCACATCCAGTGTTGTTGCCAGGTGATGTTGACTCTAGAGGTGGCTCTCACTGCATTCACGGGATGTAGCACTTAACCCCGTATATCACTTAGCTCCACACTTCCGGCTGACAACTACTCCGATACCATTTGTCACTTTCGGGCCTGCGAGCCCGTTGGCTCGATGTAAGTACTAGGATCCATGGAGTACAACATGTGGTTTAACTCAATCAACTATCAAAAATTGACTAGCCAATGTTACACTTGGCTCTCAAGACTCATCATTTAAACCATTCAATCACTCACTCGATTTCCAATGTGGGACTAAATATTGGGGTATTTAATTTTGAGATGCATGACAACAGCAACACATGCACAAGCACATGCACATGCTAAGCTTGCGGTGCACTTCCATATTACAATAAACTTCGTTTTAAAAGAAGCTTTATTGACAAATAAAGAAGTCTCACAGCAAAACTACATTATAACAAGTGCACTCTAATGAGTCAAAAGACTCTTATTACATAAGTATTGTAGGACGACTGGTGTAACTATAACTTTCAACATCAGACACTCTAAAAGATTCTTCTCATGTTCCAAAGCTCCGAGGTTTAGATAAAACTCTCTTATTTTCATATGTAAAATATAAAAAAACAACGGGGTGAGTTTACACTCAGTGAGCAGAAAACTTATCATTAGAAGATCAGATAAGTTTAAGAATTTATCAATGCTATTTGTCACGTCCCGGGCCCGCGAGCCCATTGGCGCGATATAAGTCCTTGGATCCACGGAGTGCAACACGTGGTTTGACTCACTCAACTATCAAAATTGACTAGCCAATGTTGCATTTGGCTCTCAAGATCCATCATTTAAACCATTCAATCACTCACTCAATTTCTAATATGGGACTAAATATTAGGGTATCACAATCACCTCACCTTAATTGTGCGACGTCCTCGTCGTCATGACATGACAATTGGCATATCTCAGTATCGTTGCCAGACGATGTGGACTCTAGAGGTGGCTCATACGGGCTCTAGAGGTAGCTCCCACCGCATTCACGTGATGTAGCACTTAGTCCCGTATAGCACTTAGCTCCACACTTCCAGCTGACAACTGCTCTGATACCATTTGTCACGCCCCGGGCCCGCGAGCCCGTTGACGCGATGTAAGTCCTTGGATCCACGGAGTGCAACACGTGGTTTGACTCACTCAACTGTCAAAATTGACTAGCCAATGTTGCACTTGGCTCTCAAGACCCATCATTTAAACCATTCAATCACTCACTCAATTTCCAACGTGAGACTAAATATTAGGGTATCACAGGGAACAATGACAGCAACTTGAGGAGGGGTGGGAAAGAGCTTACTTGGGTTTAGCTTTCAAGTTTCTCTCAAATTTCGGCAAGCATTTTCTTATCCTTTAACTTTTTTTTATTTCCATTATCTCCTTATCTAAATATTTGTTTTTCTTCCCAGAAAATCATGAGGAATAGATTATAGTTTTGAATCCCTAACTAGCTAATCACTTCTCATTTTGCTTATGTGACATCTTATGTGGCCATAACTGGAAATACCATGAGAAAGTTTTTTTCGGTGATCTAAACGTTCCAAAAGTTACAATCTTTTATGGATTTTGTATTAATTTTATAATCGACTGCAAAAGAGAATTTTCTGACAAAGAGAATCTAATACCTCAGATATAAAGCTGTTGAAATCATCAAAATTCCCTATACTCTGATAGAAGCAGAGTTCTCCCTTTCAATGTCCCGTAACATTCCTTCTAGGTGAACCATACTCACTGTTGCTCCATTGTTATGAATGAGGATAATCTGGGTCAGACATTTATAGATTCTGAATAATAACGAACAATGCAATGCCGATAAGAGACAGTATAGAAATGCATTGATGGAACTTAAGTTAGAAATAACCTTTCTATCATTCTGTTTCTTCATTCGTTGCTTGTCAGCTGCAAGGAAATGTTTTTGAACTGAAATTTTCTTTTCCTTATTCTCACTCTTTTGAGGACCAAACATCAGCCTATATTTCTGTCATTGTTTGAGTGTGGCATGCATACGAGCTTAGGACAAAATTGGTTGTCTAAAGTACGTATTCTATCCCTTCTTGGATTTTAGGGAAGTGGGAATTGTGATGTTAATCCTTGTACAAGTTTATATCTTAGATTGTACAGTAACCTGTTAATTCTTTTACCAGCATCTTACAGTTGATTTCAAGTCATAGGTGCTCATCTCACAATCTCATATGAAGTAAAGGTGATGTTTAAATACATAGCTTTATGGTCTTTGCTTGCATTAAGCCATTTAAAAATGATTGCAACTATACTTTAATTGGAAAACAAAGCAACCTAGTCACGGTTTTACTATCAGAAAGTCTGTAGGAGCTGGTTGATTAAGTATGGCTGTTTGGGGATACTAGGAAATTTGTCTCTATATTTTGCCTATTGCCTTCTGTACTTGGTAACCATTGTCCTACTATGGCATAGCCAGCACTTGTATTAAAGGCAACTTAGAAACTAAAACTATATATCAAATAGTTCCTTTGTGATCCAGGTTGCTAAATTTCTGACCAGGAAGCTTCAACTTGGGAGTATGAGCTAAGAAATTAAAACTATATATCATATATACATGCAGCTCCAGACCATATATCCAACACAAAAGTCATCGAATGTAATTCCCTTAACTCATACATCCAACAAAAGATTCAAGAGTGCTTTGCCCAATGTCAGGATAAACCCGAACTCAAGAAACTTCAGAAGTCATTTAGTTTTGTGAAAGTAGCGAAAAATGTTACCATAGTCTTAACCCGAAAAAAGTTGCAGGATATTGTAATGTCAAGATACAGAACTCTAAAATCCGAATTCAAGAAACTTCAGAACTCATTTACATAGACAAGTCTGTTTTCCTAGCCCGCAGTATTCAAATGGCTAGAGTATTTCCATCTGATATCGTACACTTGTTCCTGGTTATGACCAAGGCTACTTAAATCACCTGAAAGCTACTTCTTATTATTATATATCATGAGAACGAAGCCTTTTCCAAGTAGTATACAAGCTAACTCTTTCAGAAAATGGCCAGATGATATTTCCTTTACAGCATCATTCTCAAACTACTAATTGGCAGTTATCAAAGTTCGAAATTGTAGCCAATTGCTATGAAATAAGCAGCGTTTTTATTTCTCTCTATTATGCACATTGCCTTCTGTACTAGTTAACCGTTGGCCCGCAATGCCATATCCATTATATTAAAGGCAATAGCATATCCCACAATTGTGACTTGTTTACTTGTAGTAACTCACATATATATTAAAGCTATATCCCTTTTTTTTTAACTGGCACACTGGAAGTGTCAAGCACCAGTACATCAAATAGTTCCTTCAGGGTCCAGGTTGCTAAATTTCCCATCAAGAAACTTCAAGATGGGAGTGTCAGCTAAGAATCTAAAACTATAGCATATGTACATGCAGTTCGAGACCATGTATCCAAAAAACATCTTATCCAGTGTAGCTGACATACTGGAAATGTCATGGACTAGTACGTCAAATAGTTCCTTCGGGATCCAGGTTGCTAATTGTGAATGTACAGAAAAATGTCAGGATACAAAACTCTATAAGTCCAAAATTCAAGAACGTCAGATTTAAGTGTGAATGTAATGAAAAACTGATAGTCTTAACCCGAAAAAATGATACGGTATTGTGCATTGTCAGGATACTAAACTCACCCAAATCCAAGAACCTCCAGAAGTCATCTAGCTGTGTGAATGTAGTGAAAAAAAAAATGTTACTGTAGTCTTACCCATACTTTCAACCCTAAACCACCATTATACAAACCAGAATCTAAACTTGTTTTACCAGAGGCCCATTGCAAAATCATAGTCAGTGTACTTGTAAAAAGGATATCCTTTTCAACCAACGATCCTCTGGAGATCCTTAAGAACTTGTTCCTCTTCCTCAGGGGTGAGCTCATTGTCTTTTTTTATCATGCTGAGAAGCTCATCAGCAGATTTCCCTCTCATCTTAGCAGCCAAAGTTTCACCGAGCAAATCAATCAATTCTATAATCTCGAGAGAAATTGCAGCCTATACAAAAAAGGACAATAACAGGTGGGATGCACCGCACTAAGTCTCTTTTAAATCACAATAACAGATCAAGTTTCTCAAGTTTAAAGATGGTGAACCATATGCATGTACATGATATAAATTGTTTACCAAAATTATTTGAACAAGTTTCTCAAGCTCAAAGATGGTGAACCATATGCATGTACATAATACAAGTTGTCAACCAAAATTATTTGAACATGTTTGAGTGCTTATCAAGATATGCTTGATACATTGGTTAAGATGAAAGACCGGAAAAGGGTTCAATAGTTGTGTTGTTTAGGTACCAGTAGTTATGCTTTTACCAATGAACGATGATATATGGAAAAGAAGTTCAAGCGCATCCTGAACAATTATTAGGGAAAATTGAGTTGTGATTCTTGCACAGAAAAACATCAAGTTTAGGGACCAGTTGATACATAAAATGGGTGGAATGCATAAAAGTAAATGCTTTCCATAATACTGAACGTGTGTGCGGGAATAAAGATAAGATATGTAGGTAAGTCTTATCATATTCTGCTGCCTACACACCAAGAGACCGTCTACCTCGTACTATAGCCCTTCCCTCATGAATTTTGCTTGTTCAGTCTCTCACCTTATGCAGCCTACTTTGTCATGCATGCAAGTGCAGATTAGATTCAAGCTAGCTAGTGGAAGCTTATCCCACTATAGAACCGAAGCTACATCTAACTTATCAATTTTATAAAGCTCATATTGGCTCCTCCAAATGCTTGCATTGCATACGAAGAAAAAAATCTTATATTGAAAAATATAAATTAGGGCTAATTGAACTTTAATACCCTAAAGTTTCCCAAAGTACAATACCTAAATTAGGTTAAATTTAGGAGAACATTGAACTTTTAATGAACTATTGGCAATTTATGGGAAAAGTATCACCTTAGGAACACTTTTCCACTAAGTTTATTCTCTTTTGAGTTATTATATGGAATTTGTCGTAATATAAGTATGTATTAGAAAAAACATTATCTTCACTGCAAAATCTAGAAAAACAACTTAAAATCATGACAACAGAATATCCAAAGTGAATGACAAAGTTTTTCGCCAAATCCAGGCACTCTGTGGTTGGAAAGCTGGAGAATTATATTATACTTTTAAAGAGAATCATCTAATGGGCAGTGCGAATTTCGTAAACTTTGGCGTACATCTGCGCAAATTTGAACTTCAGCTCAAAGAAATGGGTGGAACTTTAGGGACTTAAAGTACAACATATGAATCAAGGAAATAAAATGAAATGTGGATAAAAAGCAATACCTGATTGAAATGTCCCGTAAGTCCCATGCGACTATATTAAATTACTAATATATATATTGATGAAACTTGTAATAAAAAATGTACCCCTCCTCAAACTATATACAAGATGTAAAATTCATTTACTATCGTAATTAACAATCATTCTGCACACTTGATTCAACTTTCGTTATCCTTTTACAGTTTTCCCTAAAATTGGTGCAATTTGGGAGCCGAAGAACACTAGCCCACATTGATCCTTCTCATATCCAATCGCTCAAGCACCTTTGCTGTTGGTATAATCAATTTCTAGATCATATTAAAGAGGAGTACATATATTTCCTCACAAAGTGGAAAGGTCAAAATCTGAGGATTATCCTGGAGTGACCATAATTCACAATCAATTTTAAACATGCAATAAGAAAATCTATTACTCAGATCACTGGAAACAGACATACAGATATTTATCTGACCTCTAATGACAATGTGTCTTATCAGAATTCTGTAATTAAAGATGAAAATGTTTATTACCGATGACCCAATATTCCTCAAACAAATAATAGAATTCTTAGTTCTTGATAATGCTTTTACGCTCAAATTTTATCCTTGAGGTTCAAGAACTCCCTGATATTTTTCCAAATCTCAACCTTTCAAGAATCCAAATTTCAGCATACATATATTTTTTTGAAGAGTAAAAGATCAAACTCATGTTTATCTTGAAGTGACCTCAAGTGCTAATCAATTTTAAACATGCAATAGGAAACTTCATTACTTCCCATATATATCCATAAACTTTATATATCAAAGATTAATCAACAATCAAATTGTTTCTCAGATCACAGCAAACAGATTATATAGATACTCGACCTGACCTCTAGTAACAATGTACCTTCTCATAATTCCATATTTCAAGATGTAAAGTGTATATTGTTCATAACAATTGAAGATGTAAAAAATCAAATTTCCTTTAATAAGCAATATAATTCTTAGCTCTTGATAATCCTCTCGTATTTGAATTTTCTCCTTATGGTCCATGAATTCCCTGATAGTTGTCAAAATTTCAACCTATCAAGAATCCGAATTTCAACATACACATATTTCTTTAACCTATCAATCATGCGCCCCGGGCACAGGACGCTTCAGCCTGGGAAATGCGCCCCGCACGAGAGGCGGGGCGCTGCACGCAGTGAGGCGCGCGCCTCGCGTGCGTCTCACGTGCACCTCGCTCGCGCCTCACGTGCGCCTCGCACCTGTGTTATGTAACATACTCTTTCTTCTATTTTTTTAAAATAATTTACATAATTACATATTTATATCATGTAATATACTATTTCTTACTAGTTGCTAATCTATTTTCATCTTTTTATGTTTAACCTATAAAAAGGAAGCAATAATTAGTAATTTAGTATACTTGTTTGCTAATTGTAACTTTCTTCTCTAATTAGCATGCTAACTAGCAAATTATGAACATGTAAATATGAACATGTAAATATGTAATTGTTACATTCATTCTTTATCTTTTCATGCTAAGTAGCAAATATCAATTAAGAATACTAACTAGAAAATTATGAACAATCATGTTTGCTAATTATATTTCTTAGTATTTTTATGTGGCAATTTATAAACATATGCTCATAATTGTTAATCACTTAATTTGATGATTTAAATACATGTTTCTTGTATCTTTATTGTTACTTTAAAAATTCAGTTAGCATAATTTGATGATTTAAGTTGATATTCTCATAATTTTGGATGTAGGTAACTAATATGTTGCTTATATGTTTCTGTCTTATGATGTTGGCAAATATTAGTTTGAGTTATGCACCTCAATTAGTGAGGCGCGCGTCTCATTGTGCGCCTTGCGCATGGTGCGCGTAAGGGACCTTTGCGCCCCGCATTGCGCCTTGCGCCTCGATAACACTGCTATCAATAATTTTCAACCTATCAAGAATCCAAATTTCAACATACTCGTATTTATTTAAAAAGTAAAAGAGGTCAAACTCTCATGTTTATCTTGAAGTGAGCACAAATGCTATTCAATTTTTTTTTCTCTAAAAAAAATCCTAATCAATTTTAAACATGCAATAGAAACATTCATTATTTCCCATAAATATCCTATGAACTTTTACATACTAATATTAATCAGCAATCAAATAGTTCTTCAGATCTTAAAGACCCTCAGAACTCGCTTCTCCTTACAGTGTACCTTCTAATAACAATGTAAGAGTTAAATCCTAATCAATTTTTTCTCTCAAAAAAATTCTAATCAATTTTAAATATGCAATAGGAAAATTCTAATCAGGAATCAAACCGTTTCTCAGATCGTAGAGACACTCAGTGACTCAGATCTGACCTCTTGTAACAATTGACCTTCTAAAATCTGTATCATCGATGAACTCTTAAGATTCAAGAACGCTCAGATCTGACCTCTCGTAACAATGTACCTTCTAATAAGTCAGCATTAACGATGTACGAGCTAAATACGTCCTTAATAAACAAAATAATCCTGAGTTCTTGATAATGATTTCAAGGTCCAAGAAATTTTCTACCCAGCTTCCTAAAAACTCGACCAATAAAAAAAATCTAAAGCAAACAATCTCGCAAGGAAAGGTACTGAGAAGGAAGCTCACCTGAAACATGAAGAAACGCTTAGCAAAGTCAAAGGTTTCGGCGGCCAACTCATCATCAAAGCTCTCTTTCATCTTCTCCTTCACCACTTCAGGCGGCCAAGATGCCCAACGACCCCGCGCGTTGCAGCACGCTCTGACTTTTTCCAGGGTTTTTTTATTGACATCGACGGGGATGGCATCGACGGCGAATCCCCCTTCGATCTGGCGGCGAAGGGCCTTCGACAGCTTGGCCACCCCCTCATCCATCTCCACCAGCTTGTTGTCCTTGGTCCTCAGCATCACCGTCTGCTTCTGTCCGCCGGAGTTGTTGTCCCCTTCAGTGTTGTTCGCGCCCAGGCGATGGCGGCGCCCGTTGCGCTAGTGAACTCGTCGCAGCGCGTCGTAGCCGCTGATGTCCCGGAGTCGGTTGACTCGTTTTCGGCGGAGACCAGATTCCTTGATCCTCAGCATATCACATATTCATCTCGATTTCATTCCTCTTCCTCTTTCTGGACTCCCGCCTCGTGATGTCGCCACCGGAGGTGTCGACGCTGGCCCGGTCGTCGTTGTTTCTCGCTGCTGGCGCTTGTCGTCGCTGGCGTCGTAGCCGCTGTGGCGGAGACGTTTGATCGTTTTCGTGGTAAGGCGCCGGAGATGAGGAAGCCATTTGATTCGAGGAGGGAGCGCGCGGAAGTGGGGCCCATGCGATGAGGGCTGGGGAAAAAGGCGGGAAATTTCGGGCTTTCCGCGGAGGATGCTTCTAGAATTCTTGATTCTGAAGAGAAGTTCAACGGGTTAACAGATGGATTAAGAATTAATTAAGCCGTTGAGCTGGATTAGACTTTAGTGGTGGTCTGGAGATCGCAATGGGTTGTGGATGATGATAATCCGATCCAAGTTTTTGACCGGATCCGATAAGGCATATCCAATAGTTGTATAGGACAGACGGTGTACGAGAATGGTAAGGACTGCTCCTCTTCTCGACTTAGGCAAGTAGAGACTCCATATTTACCATTTAAATTTGTTATAAGAATTTTTCTAGCCAGCGTCTACGGCACTTATTAAGTGATGAGAGAGAGAGAGAGAGAGAGGGGGAAAGGGGAGAAATTAGTAAAGAGTAGAGTAATCTACTTGTTGGGAATTAGAGAGGAGATGAGGAGATAATATTTTTTTCTATATTATTCATCAACTAAAAGTGCCTTTATATAGGCTTACAAAACAACTTAATCCCATAAAAATCTAAACTAATTAGCAACAACTCCACTAACAAAATAACAACCTAATAACAAATTTTGAATCAATTATTCAACATTCCCCCTTGATTCAAAAATTTCTTCTCATTCCTTTTGAATCTTCATAGAGCACTTCTCTTCACTTTGTGATGCACTTCTCATCTCAATCTTGTTGATGCACATAATCACCAACATTTCTTAAAGGAGCACTTCTCTCAATCTCTCCATGGTGCACATCTCACCATGATTCCTAGAGTAGAATTTCTTCTTCAACTGCTTGTGCCATGTTTGCTTGTTCTTCACCATTATATCGACAATATTTTTGGATATGACCAAATCTCTTGCATTTGTGACATTGAGGTTTTCCTTTATGCCAACAATCCTTCTCCTCATGACCAAGTTTCTTACAATTGTTGCATTGGACTCCTTTGCCTTTCCCTTTTGAAGATGAAGTCTTGGCTAATAAGGCTTCTTCAAATTTTTTATCATTTTCTTCATTCCTCATTGCTCTCCTTTGGTCTACGGCACTGAGGGCATTGACTAAATCCACTAGAACTATTTTTGATAGGTCTTTGGAATCTTCAAGTGAGGAAATTTTGGACTCATACCTTTCGGGAACAGTCACTAAAATCTTATCAACCACTCTTTCATTTGAAAATGTTTCACCAAGCAATCTAATTTGATTGACAATAGCCATAAGCTTACCGACATACTCTTTGATGGTCTCACCTTTCTTCATCTTTTGCATCTCAAACTCCCTCTTGAGATTCAAAACTTGCATCAATTTTGTTTGATCGTTGCCTTCGAACTCTTCCTTTAGCATCTCTCACGCCTCCTTAGGTGATTCACAAGTCATTATACTTGTGAAGATTCCATCCGACACGGCCGAATGAATACAAGAGAGGGCTTTTGGCTTCTTTGCTTTTTCTTCATCGTGCTTCTTGATTTGTTTTAGGGTTGGATTTTGTGGAAGAGGGGTAGGCTCATAGTCACTCTCAACAACTTCCCATAAACTCAAAGATTTCAAATGAGATTTCATCTTAATAGCCCAAGATTGATAATTGTCTCCATTGAAGATGGGGTATGGAAGCGAAAAATTGTTGGATGCCATTGAAAAACAAAGATTGATCACTCCTTTTTTTTTTAATCCTCACAAACCATAGCCGAGAGCGCCACAGTTTTGTGAAGAAATCTAATCCGTACTGAATTTGTGAAGACTCCACGCGGCCTTCACCAAATACTCAAAGAAATACGAAACTGAGGATGGGAAGAAGGAAATCCAGACCCAGCTTGAGAAGATAAAGAAATATGCTTCTGTTGTCCGTGTGCTGGCCCACACTCAGATTAGGAAGATGAAGGGTTTGAATCAGAAGAAAGCCCATTTAATGGAAATTCAAGTGAATTGACCACGTCCTTGCTCCTCTTGATCTCCAGATCTCATTCCTCCTCCTCTTCAATCATCATCAGCCATGCCAAAACAACCTGGCTCTGATACCATGTTGGGAATTAGAGAGGAGATGAGGAGATAATATTTTTCTATATATTATTCATCAACTAAAAGTGCCTTTATATAGGCTTACAAAACAACTTAATCCCATAAAAATCTAAACTAATTAGCAACAACTCCACTAACAAAATAACAACCTAATAACAAATTTTGAATCAATTATTCAACACTACTTGTTATTCATTTATCTCAATCTGCCTCAACTCCTATTCCACTAAACAACTGCGTTATAATACAGTTACATGAGACTCTTTATATAAAATCATGTTATATCTATATAACGAGCCCCACCACACACACTCCTAACAATAGCACACGCCATAAAAAATAAAAAATGAAAAGAAACCCACCAAAAAAGGGAGATTTTTTTTATATTGCCCTCTTCATCTAGTCCTATTCCACTAAACTCATGGCCTCATGGGACATTTTTCATTCTAACCTTCTAAGTTAATATCCTCAAATTTAATCAAAGCGAATTAATTACAAGAAATAGAAAAAGAGAAAAATACCACTAGACTTATAAAATAATATAAATATTTATAGGAAGGAGTTTTTTTAAAAAGATACTTTTGCTAAATAATTAGCAAAACCGACCATTTTGCTAATTATTTAGCAAAACCGACCTCTTTTTGGCCTGTTGGCCAAAAAGAGGTCGGTTCTGCTAAAATGCCTCTTCGAATCATACAGGGCTAGTAGTCTCGTATAATTAGTGGTCAGTAATTGGCCACTAAACCGAACTCAGAAAACCCACAGTAACTAGTCGTCCCGTGGGTTTCTTTAGTGTTGCACAAACCCCTTTTCCGATCGAAGTGGCCCGACAGAGACCACATATCTCCAACCCTTTATCCTCCAACCCTTTATCCTCCAATCCTAGCTCTCCCCATGGCCATGGCTCTAACCAGGTCCAAGTTCCTCGACCTCCCAGTCTCAACCCTAACCCCCTCCCCTCCCCTCAAAAGACCTGCTTTCCCCCCAGAAACGAGCTCATCGACCCCAACAACGACGAAGACTTAAGGTGGAAGAAGGGCGCGAAGAGGGGCGACGTGTCCCTCACGCTGGATGACGTCAACCCAGTAGGGCTGGGAGGAAGTCCCGGCAGATGTTCGATGAGGTGTGGTGCAAGTTCTCGGGGTTAGGGCGGATTTTGAGGACCCCGATCGATGTGGGGAGCAGGACACCACAGTGCTCGTCGTGGGGGCGACGAGCAGGATCGGGCGCATTGCGGTGCGGAAGCTCATGAAGTTAAGTAATAGCAAAAACTCACGGGACTAGTAGTCTTGTGGGTTTTCTGGCGCAGTATTAGTCGCCAATTAATGACAACCAAACATACGGGACTAGTAATCCTGTAGGTTTCGAAGAGCTCATTTAGCAAAACTGACCTCAGTTTTGCTAAATAATTAGCAAAACGGTCAGTTTTGCTAATTATTTAGCAAAAAGGGTCTTTTTTAAAAAACTCCTTATAGGAATAATAGAAATAGTGAAAATGAATATAAAAGGGTGATATTTTTTAGTAACGAGGGATGTTTCCTTCTTTTTCGGTCACATGATGAGCTAGACTTCATTGTATTACTTTGGAGATTCAAAGTTACAAAATTTCTAGGAGTTTAGTTCGAGATAGTTATATGATAATCCTTTCAAAGCTAAGGAAGGATTTTGTATCATGGCGACCTAGTATTGATTACAATATTTTCTCTGGGATAAACAATTTGGAGGAGGATAAAAAGTATGTTATTGTTTTTTCTTCTTTGCTTGGCTTACTTTCAACTTATAAACCACACATATATACTAATACAATGACTCTTAGATCTCCTAATAAAAACTATTGAATTTCCCAACAACATTCATACATCTAACATATTCATGCATTTGACTCCTCATACAACTAAATGATCTTCTCAATTCTCAAGATAATTTAATCATGTTTACTCTCCACTTGAATACTAATCTAATCCGATTCAATGCCAATTAAAAACTAATTAACAATATCCTAGCAATTATGATATACAACAAGATATATGAGAAATGATATGCAATATAAGCAATGGCGATATAAACATGCAACAATGGCGATATGAAAATATACAAGAATAAATGCACCAAAGTCAAACTCAAACACAAGAAAATAATCACGGAGTTCGATCCTTTCGACCTACGTCTTCGCTCCCCACTCCCAGGGAGAATCCACTACACAACCAGGTTTTCGATGCTCACTCAAAAAATGTTTACACCTCACAAGTTTGGTTTTCTAGCTCACCAAAAACTCTACAATCTCACACTCTTGTAAACACATTCTACACCATGTAAGTGTTGGTCTCTAATCAGTGTCCTTCCTTAAGTGCTCAGATTTACGATCTCTCTCTAGGTTTTACTACCGACGCCACTCCTCTTGGAAACAACTCCATCTCTCATCATACACTTCTCTCGGTGTACAAGTGTATTACAAAGTGATCTCACAATAAAATCATAATAATAAAATGATTTGTTCTCTAAACAATGTGAGAACCCAATTAAGCCTGCACTCAATGTTACAATCTCACAACCCCAAATAACTATGTATGAAAATACTTAAACTCAAGTGAGTGTGTGTAAACAATGAGTGAAAATTAAATATAAAC